TGTAAAAGGTGTAAGATTAAGTAAGATGAACAAAGCATTACCTGAAGTATAAAAAATGTATAACTAAAATGGAAACTTACAAATGCGGCAATGTTGTCCCTTCTGCCTCTGTGAGAATCGCCCATTGTGAGAAGAACCATTGTTGAAAATTCCTGAGATTATGAAAGACTTAGAAAGTGTAAGAGATTATGAAAGACTTTGTAGCAGATAGTGAGACGATTGTGGGTGTGAGAGAAGTATGTTATGCTCTGTATTTATAGGAAAAAAACTTTCATAGAGTAAGTGGGGTGGTAGTTGGTGCATGTATGCATGATAAGTGTCACTCTTGCAGAGTAGGCGCAGCTAGGTGGCAGCCTTGGAGAAGGCATATCTGCATGCATGTAACACGATTGGACATTAAGGGAGGCGCCATTAGACTTGGCGAAAGATTCCAAAAATTAAAGGTGTCGCCATCCCCATTGGCGAATAAGAGGTGTCATGGTTTCCAGAGTAGGCGCAGGCTAGGTGATAGCCTTGGGGATGCCATGCCTGAATGCATGTAACACTATTGGAAGTGATGGGAGGAGACTTACAAGTAATAGTTTAGGTGCAGAGTAGGCGCAGCTAGGTGGCAGCCTTGGAGAAGGCATCTCTGCATGCATGTAACATGATTGGACATTAAGGGAGGCGCCATTGGACTTGGAGAAAGAGTCCAAAAATTAAAGGTGTCGCCATCCCCAATGGCGAATAAGAGGTGTCATGGTTTCCAGAGTAGGCGCAGGCTAGGTGACAGCCTTGGGGATGCCATGCCTGAATGCATGTAACACTATTGGAGGTGATGGGAGGAGACTTACAAGTAACAGTGTAGGTTCGGAGTAGGCGCAGCTAGGTGGCAGCCTTGGAGAAGGCATCTCTGCATGCAAGTAACACGATTGGACATTAAGGGAGGTGCCATTGGACTTGGCGAAAGAGTCCAAAAATTAAAGGTGTTGCCATCCCCATTGGTGAATAAGAGGTGTCATGGTTTCCAGAGTAAGTGCAGGCTAGGTGACAGCCTTGGGGATGCCATGCTTGAATGCATGTAACACTATTGGAGGTGATGAGAGTAGACTTACAAGTAACAGTGTAGGTGCAGAGTAGGCGCAACTAGGTGGCAGCCTTGGAGAAGGCATCTCTGCATGCATGTAACATGATTGGACATTAAGGGAGGCGCCATTGGACTTGGCGAAAGAGTCCAAAAATTAAAGGTGTCGCCATCCCCATTGGCGAATAAGAGGTGTCATGGTTTCCAGAGTAGGCGCAGGCTAGGTGACAGCCTTGGGGATGCCATGCCTGAATGCATGTAACACTATTGGAGGTGATGAGAGTAGACTTACAAGTAACAGTGTAGGTGCAGAGTAGGTGCAGGCTAGGTGGCAGCCTTGGAGGTTAAAACCTTAGTTAATTCAAATTCAGTATGACCTATTTAGTCTTACATTTATCAAAACTCTGATTCACTTAATCTGTCAAACCTTGCAACCTTCAAACAATCAAACCTTCAAACAATCAAACATACAAACCTTCGAATAAGTCATAAACTTCAAACCTTCCAACCTTCAAACCTTCAAACAATCAAACATACAAACCTTCGAATAAGTCATAAACTTCAAACCTTCCAACCTTCAAACCTTCAAACCTTTAAACCTTCACACAACCATACGCAATGGCCTATGCACCCCAATATGTCATCAATGCACATTTCAACAATGAGACATACATTTGTCCCACCTCTAGGTTCTTATTTAGAGACACAGATAACATTCGATTTCTTTTAAACGGGAAAGCCAATTTCTCGTACTTCAAAAAAACGATTGGAGGCCAAACTTGGACGAGGCCCGGTGACACAAATATTTTATCAGAATCCAGTTTTTTTTTTAAACAACCAAATAATATTTTATAAGGTTGAGGTTCAAGATGACGAGGATCTTCAGAATATGTTTTCCAGCCATGTGTATTCTGGGTACGACTATATTGAGTTGTACATTATGCTGCGAGAGGCTCAGGTGACACAAGTGGTTGATCCTTTGGAGACCGAACAAGCAGAGGTAGATGCAGTTGATGAAGAAGAAGAAGATGACGAGTTAGAGTTTGATGAAATGGTGAATGATGATTCCTACGATGATGGCATACCTAGTATTCCTGCAAACGAGATCTACACACCACCTCCGCACATGACAAACTTCAACATGGGCGGAGATGAACCGTCTTCTGATTTATTTTTCAATCCGTATATGCAGTCGGATGAAAACTTAAAAGAGAAGGACAAGTTTCGTAACAGAGAGGAATGCATCAGAGCCATAAAAAAATTCCACATGCTCAACTCGGTCGATTTTAAGGTGGACCGTGTCAACCCAGAAAGGTACAAGATCAAGTGTGCCCACCCTGACTGTATGTTCAAGCTCACTGCATCATACAGATTAGGAGGTGATTGTTGGGTCATAGGTTCCATGACTACCCACACTTGTGTCAGTTCTACCCAATCACAGGACCATCGAAAACTTAATTACGATCTCATTTGTCAAGAAATCCTACCACTGGTCAGCAACGACCCATCTTTGAAGGTGAAAACCATCATCTCCCACATCACCACGGTTTTTAACTATACTCCGTCTTACCGTAAGGCGTGGTTAGCAAAGACCAAGGCGATTGAAAAGGTGTACGGAAACTGGGAGGAGTCATACCAAGAACTTCCTCGCTACCTGAATGCACTCAAGACTTATTCTCCGGGTACTGTTTACATTCTGGAAACAGTGCCAGCATACGCCTAAGATGGTAGTCAACTAAACGGAAATAGAATATTCAGTCGAGTGTTTTGGGAATTTCAACCTTGCATCACAAGGTTTGCATCATGCAAACCAATTATACAAATTGGTGGGACTTGGTTGTATGGGAAATACAAAGGAACGCTATTGATGGCAGTTGCACAAGATGGCAACAACAACATTTTCCCAATTGCCTTTGCCCTAGTCGAGGGGGAGACCAGTGGTGCTTGGAGCTTTTTTCTGAAAAACCTGCGAACACACGTGGCTCCTCAACCAGATCTCTGTTTGATCTCGGACAGACATGCCTCCATTGAAATTTCCTACAATAATCCTGCAAACGGTTGGCATGACCCTCCTTCTACGCATGTCTATTGCGTTAGGCATATCGTCCAAAATTTCACGAGGGAGATCAAGGACAAAACACTAAGGAAAGCGGTTATGAATGCGGGATATGCATTGACACAACCCACATTCAAATATTACCGCAACGAGATTTGTTTGTCAAATCCGGAAGCCGGTAGGTGGATCGACAATATTCCGATGGAAAAATGAACTAGGTCATACGACAATGGCCAAAGATGGGGGCACATGACAACGAATCTTATTGAATCGATGAATGGGGTATTCAAAGGCATACGAAACCTCCCGATCACTGCTTTGGTAAAATCTACGTATTTTAGGATGGCTTCGTTGTTTGCCAAAAGAGGTGAAATATGGAATGCAGTGTTGCAATCTGGACAACTATGGAGTGAAAGCTGCATGAAGTACATTAAGGCAGAAAGTGCCAAAACCAACACTCATATGGTTATACAGTTTGACCGACACAACCACAACTTCATTGTGAAAGAGACAATCGACCACAACGAAGGCCTGCCAAGACAAGAATATAGGGTTGTACTACCTTCTCGTTGGTGCGATTGTGGCAAGTTTCAAGCCTTTTGTATGCCTTGCTCTCATGTCATTTCTGCTTGTGCTTATACCCATCAAGACGCGCTACAACTCCTGTCACACATTTACAAATCTGAAACGTTACTCAACGTTTACAACAATAGCTTTCCTTTGGTAGCAAAACCAGATTATTGGCCTGCATACGACGGCGAAATAGTGTGGCACAATGACCAAATGCGAAGGAACAAGAAGGGTTATCCCAAAAGTAAGTGCATCACAACCGAAATGGACGACCTTGACAAGCTGGAAAGAAAGTGTGGTTTATGCCGTCAGGTCGGACACAATCGCAAAAATTGTCTGAATCGGGCGTCTGTCTCAACCACATAAAAATTGTAATACATAAAATCTTTCCTTAATTATGTTGTAAACATTAGGGTTTTTCGTTAACAGTATTTGCTACAATAAATATTGCGCGTACAAGAAAAAAACACGATATTCCGTCTACGAAATTACAATTGTTAAAACAATTTCATCGGACCCATGCATTATCAACATTACGTCGCTAACTGTTTTGACTTCCTCCAACCATACATTAGGTCTTCCAGTCGCATGTGAGGTTGTTATTCGTCTTCGCTGAATCCTTCAAAAAATTTCCCCCTCCACAATGTCTACATCTAGCCATCGCATCAACTCCCGCTTCAGACGCTCCATGGAGTGAATGTGCCATAATTTCATTTTCATCGCAGGTTTCGTGGCGGAGAAGATAACGTAACCATCTCTGGTAAAAATCATGGGCGATGTCATGATGCAAATAACAGAGTAAAAAATAAGAAAACAGTGCGAGAAAGTGTGAGAAATGACGGAGAAACGGACGAATTATTTATAAAAAACAGCATTTTGCCCTAGGAGCCAAGTGAGATGGCGCCTCCTCTCACTTTTATAGTGCATGGGCCATCTCACTTGGCTAAAAGAGAGAGGAGGCGCCAAGTGAGATGGCGCCTAGAGCAAAACCCTAGGTGGAGGCGCCAAGTAAGATGGCTCCTCCTTTAGGGAGTCATCTGAAACATGATTATTTGCGTAATTTTTTCCAAAACGTGGTTTTTTACGAATTTTTTTTAATACATGATTATTTTTTAAAAAAAAATTCACGTAAATAAGTGCCGAAGACTTAACATTTACAAACCAATATCTTACGTTAATAATTTTCGTGAACACCATCCAACACAAACCATCCTTCCTTAACATCATTACCTTAAAGCATCCATGTCACACAATATCAAACCTTTTTCCTTAACAGCTTCTGACACAAACCCTTCTTCCCTAACACCATCCATGTCTGACAACACTAAACCACGTAAAAGACTTATCATCAAACTCAGTTATCCTCCTGGTTCTCGAAAACGTGATTCAGATTCTTGCGGTAGAGACGAAAACAAGAGAAGGAAGATTCAAGATTCGGTAAGACCAACGGTAACCTATTATTGGATTGATTCTAATTATCATACCAAAACAACACCTTTGTCTTTGTCTCAACCCTACGATGACAATGTTGTTGAAAACAAAAACATCACCAAGAACCATGTTTCCAACACAGTTATGTCTCAACCAAAGAATAACATCATTGATGTTGAAAACAAGAAGATGATCAAGACCCAAGTTTCAAAAATAGCAAGAGCGGAAGAAAGTTTAAGACTTTATACAAAAAGCATCTTGATGGTGAAGGATTCATCAAAAACAGCCTCTGTCACAAGAGCTGAAGAATGTCCCGTGAAGAAAGCGATGGAATGTGTTAAGAGAAGAGAATGTTGGTTGATTTTGAAGAGGATGTTGGTAGGGAGAGATGGTTGGGATTTGAAAGATCCTCCAACAAGAGCAATGGTTGATAAGTCTGTTGAATAAACATTAAATGTGTTAGTAATAAAGTTTTACATTAAATATGGTAGTAGGAAGGACAAAAGTTTTAGTAAGTTATTAGTAGCAGTTATGTTTTAGTTTATGTTTTAGAATTGTAAAAGCTATTTGGGTCTATAAAAGACCAAGAGTGTATTTTATTTTAGAAGAGCAATATACAAAGTTTTATAGAAGTCTGATCATTTTATAACAATTTGGCATCAGAGCTCGTGGCAAACATGATGAATCAAATGCCGTTGCCACGGCTAACGAAGTCTAATTATGAAAACTGGAGCATCCAAATGAAAGCTCTTCTTGGATCTCTAGACGCGTGGGAAGTGACCAATGATGGGTTTGAATAACCAACAGAAGTTGGAGGATATACGGCAGCTCAAACGAAGGCGTTGAAAGAGACGCGATCGAAGGATAAAACAGCATTATACATGTTGTTCAGGGCTATAGATGAATCAGGCTTCGAGAAAATTGTTGGTTCGACTACGTCTAAACAAGTGTGGGACACGTTAGAAAAAGTGTTCAAAGGAGCAGATCGAGTGAAGCAAGTTCGACTCCAAACTCTTCGTGGCGAATTGGAGAGGATACAGATGAAGGATACATAAATTGTATCTGACTACATCACACGTGTGCAAAAGGTGGTGAATCAACTCACCAGAAATGGAGAGACAGTACCTGATGCACGAGATGTTGAAAAGATCTTGAGATCTTTAACAGACAAGTTTGAAAATATTGTATGTGCAATAGAAGAGTCGAAGGACCTTTTGACGCTTTCAATCGAAGAGCCCGTTGGTTCTCTCGAAGCACATGAACAACGAAAGATGAAAAAGAAAGAAGAAGCAGACGAAGAAGCAAACCAAACCAAGGAATCAAACAAAGACGAAAAGGTACTCTTTTCTCACAACTTTCGAGGAAGAGGACGTGGACGTGGAGGTCGTGACAGTGGTAGAGGTAGCAACTTCGAAAGAGGACAATCGAGCCAACAAAATTGGCGTGGCAGAGGACGTGGTCAAAGAGGTGGTCGTTCGAATTATTCCAACTTCGAATGCTACAAGTGTGGGAAGTATGGTCATTATACGAAGGATTGTAACTCCTACAAATGTTACAATTGTGACAAAGTGGGACATCTTGCAAAAGACTGTCGAATCTAAAAGAAGATTGAAGAAACAACCAACCTAGCCTTGGAAGCTGAATCGAATGAAGGCTTTCTCCTGATGGCTCAAAACGAAATCAACACCAATGACAGTGTTTGGTATCTTGACTCAGGAGCAAGTAATCACATGTGTGGTTACAAACACCTGTTTAAAGATATGAAGAGAATTGAAGATGATAATGTGTCTTTTGGAGATGCATCGAAAGTGAAGGTCGAAGGAAAGGGCACAATCAGTTACTTGCAGAAGGATGGCTTGATTGGATCAATCAAAGACGTTTACTATGTACCAGATCTCAAGACCAACATATTAAGTCTGGTACAACTTACAAAAAAAGGTGCTTCGATACTGATGAAAGATCGAACACTGCATTTGAAGGACAAAGCATGATATCTGATTGCCGCTGTCGAAATGGAAAGAAATCGAATGTACAAACTGAACCTGAGCAACATTCGATAGAAATGTCTGCAAATCGAAGTGCAAGACAAAGCGTCACTATGGCATATGCGCTTTGGTCATCTACATCATGCTGGTTTGAGAAGGTTGGCGAAAAGGAACATGGTGCATGGACTACCAGACATGGATTTCGAAGGAAAATTCTGTGAAGAATGTGTGCTCAGCAAACAAACAAGAACCTCATTTCAAAGGAAGGCAGAGTATCAAGCTAAACATATCCTCGAATTGATACATACTGACATATGTGGGCCAATCACTCCAGAATCCTTCAGTGGAAAAAGGTACTTCATTTCTTTTATTGATGACTTCTCAAGAAAAACCTGGGTCTACTTCCTGAAAGAAAAGTCTGAAGCATTAGAAGTGTTCAAAAAGTTCAAAGTAATGGTAGAGAAGGCAACAAACAGACACATCAAAGCAATTCGATCTGACAGAGGAGGTGAGTATACTTCAATGGCCTTCGTGAAGTACTGTGAAGAACAGGGCATAAGGAGATTCCTAACTACACCATATTCACCTCAGCAAAATGGTGTGGCTGAAAGGAAGAATTGAACTATTTTTTACATGGTTCGATCAATGCTCAAAAGCAAGAACATGTCGAAAGAATTCTGGGCAGAAGCAGTACAATGTGCTGTTTATATTCAGAATAGATGTCCACATTCGAAGTTAGAAGACAAAACACCACAAGAAGCATGGAGTGGACAGAAGCCAACAATTTCTCATCTCAAGGTATTTGGTAGTATAGCTTATGCACATGTACCAAATCAACGAAGAACAAAGCTTGAAGACAAAAGTCAGAAGTACATATTCATTGGATATGATGAGAAGACGAAAGGGTACAAGCTCTTCAATCCCATAAGCAAGAAAGTGATCATGAGCAGAGACGTTTGAATGAACGAAGCAAGCAAGTGGGACTGGAACAATTCGACAGAGGTTGTTGACACAGTCGAAGAAACAACTGTAGCTGTACCAACTAGTATTCCAACAGAACATGAAGAAACTGAAGATGAAGATGAACCTCTACAACCAAAAATGATAAGTTTGCAAGATTTGTATGATTCAACAAGTGAGGTGCATCTTGTGTGTCTTCTGGCAGATGCTGAAAATATCAGTGTCGAAGAAGCGTTACGAGATAAGAAGTGGAAAAGTGCCATGGACGAAGAAATTAGAGCAATCGAACGCAACAATACTTGGGAGTTAGTCAAATTACCAAAAGGTAGTCAACCCATTGGTGTAAAGTGGGTATTCAAGAAAAAGATGAATGCTCAAGGAGAAATCGAAAGATTCAAAGCACGACTGGTTGCGAAGGGATACAAACAGAAAGCAGGAATTGACTATGACGAAGTGTTTGCGCCTATTACAAGAATGGAGACAATTCGATTACTCATTTCTCAAGCTGCTCAGTTCAAATGGCCAATATTTCAAATGGATGTCAAGACAGCATTTTTGAATGGTGTGCTCGAAGAAGAAATCTATGTCGAACAACCACTTGGATATATGAAAACTGGAGAAGAGAAGAAGGTGTTGAAACTGAAGAAACCACTGTATGGGCTGAAGCAAACACCTAGGGCATGGAACACACGTATTGACACATATTTCAAAGAGAATGGGTTCGAGCAATGTCCTTATGAACCCGTCCTCTATGTGAAGAAAAATGGAAGTGATTTATTACTTGTTGCTCTCTATGTTGATGACCTTATCTTTCTAGGCAGTGATGTTCAGATGATCGAAGATTTCAAGAGCACCATGACAAGCGAATTCGAAATGACAGACTTAGGTCTGATGAGATTCTTTCTTGGTCTGGAGGTTCGACAAGAAGAAGCTGGAATTTTCATCTCACAAGAAAAATATGCAAAGGAAATCTTAGAAAAATATAAAATGAAGAATTGCAATCCAACTTCGACGCCAATGGAACCAGGTACAAAACTATCAAAGTTTGATGGAGGAGAACGGGTCGAAGGAAGCAAATATCGAAGCTTGGTAGGTAGCCTTCGATATATCACATGCACAAGGTCAGACATTTCACTAAGTGTTGGCATAGTAAGTCGATTCATGGAGGAACCAGTACACACACATTGGAAGGCGCTGAAACGAATTCTAAGATACATCCAAGGAACAGTATCACTAGGAATGTTTTATTCAAAAACAGAAGACTACAAGTTAGTTGGTTATTCTGACAGTGACTGGTGTGGAGACATAGACGATCGAAAGAGCACCTCTGGATATGTGTTTTTCATGGAAAACACAACATTTACTTGGCTGTCGAAGAAGCAACCTATAGTAACACTTTCGACGTGTGAAGCTGAATATGTGGCAGCATCCTGGTGCGTCTGTCATGCAGTATGGCTCAGAAGGTTGATAAGCAAGATGGAGCTGAAACAGGAAGATCCAACAATAATACAAGTGGACAATAAATCAGCTATCGAATTGACAAAGAATCCAGTAAATCATGAACGAAACAAACATATTGATGTTCGATTTCACTTCATTCGTGAACATGTGAAGGAGGGAAGTGTCGAATTAAGGTATGTAGCAAGCAGAAACCAAGCAGCGGATATTTTTACAAAACCACTATCAAAAGAGGTCTTCGACAGAGGCAAGAAGATGATAGGAATGCTGGATGGAAGAAACATTTAAGTTTACAGAGGAGTTTTGTTGAATAAACATTAAATGTGTTAGTAATAAAGTTTTACATTAAACATGGTAGTAGGAAGGACAAAAGTTTTAGTAAGTTATTAGTAGCAGTTATGTTTTAGTTTATGTTTTAGAATTGTAAAAGTTATTTGGGTCTATAAAAGACCAAGAGTGTATTTTATTTTAGAAGAGCAATATACAAAATTTTATAGAAGTCTGATCATTTTATAACAAAGTCAAAAGCAATAGGTTTAAATGAAATAGAGAGAAAAATGAGGCTGTATGCAACACCGGACGATTTCGCTAGTGGCATGAGACTTGTGTTCTCTAATGCAATGGAAATGTATCCTCCAAGGCATCATATTCACCAAATTGCAAAAAAGTTCAGTGACAATTTTGAACACAAATGGAAGCCATTGAAGGATATATGGGAACTTGAGGATAGAAAGAGAAGAAAGGCTCACAAGAGTAGAAGATACTAAAGATCGCATCGCAACATGTTCTGATTCTTAGGAAAAAGTTTCCTTGCATTCTGTGCATGCTGTTGTTGAACAATGTATAATTTACACAATTCATTTCCATAACTGTCTCTACTTTTTCAAAACTCATGCACTTTAGCTTACCATGGATTCTACTTCCTTTGTTATTTGCTAATTGAGGCAAGATTTAATCCTAACTTACTCTCAAATATTAGATGGATTCTACTTCATTTGAAATGGGTCAACCGACTAAATATTCTCAATAATGGTACAAAAATTCTTTCGTAAAGGTATCTAGCATGACCATATTTTTAGTGCATGGTTGGTTATTTTATGAATGACATGATGCACTAATGAAACATTAAATTAACTCTTCAAATATATCACTTTATTAGTTATGTTTAGCAATATTAGTATTACTCACCTCAATAAGTCCAACATAAATTCTTGCGAACGTTTTTAAAGTAATTTAATTTTTAACTACTAGGTTTTGAAAATTGTCTGCACTTGTGATATAGAATAGAACATCAAAGTTTTTTTTGTGTATATGTGATCACAATTATAATTGACAATGGATAAGATCGCTTAGTTTATTCTATTCCTCGTTAAATATGTATTTAATTTTAAAAATAACATTTTGAAGGATTATAACCAAACTTATGAATATGTGTATTTAATCCGCATTACGAACTGTATAAATGGTTCAACACAAACAAGAAAAATTAATTAAATAAATAAATAAATAATAGTTCCAAACACGCGCATTCAAGGAAATTAAACAGATATATATTTATATCTAAACTAAAAATGTAGTTAAGACAAATAAATTATAGGCCCGATCGGGTGGTATAATTGGCAGGAAGAAGGATCAAAACAGTAGTCGGTTCAGGGTGAAGGTATCCGATGTGCAGTTCGGTTAAAGGAATATCAAATGATCCAAGGACCCGGATAGGAACCTGTATCATCATCGACCCAGACAAGGTAGATAACCGGGACGCACCTACCTGTGACCAGTTAACACCTCGACTCATTAATGTCTGTAACCTCCGGCGGCGTAATCATTACAGCGTTACACAACTTTGATTCCTCCATTCATGGAGACAGCGGAGGTTATAGAGTTATAGAATTCAAGAGTCACTTATTAACTGAGGCTCTTGATGACGCAAAGATACACATTATATAAAGAGGCTCCCGCAAGAGAGATAAACAAGACATTCATCTTGGGACACACGCTTCACTCGCGTAGCTCCCAAATTCCCCAATCATCCTATAAACTTACTCCGGTAAGCTCTCCCTAGCAGCCTCCTGAGAAGTCGGCCGGATATTTATTCTACGCAAGAATATTGGCGCCCATCGTAGGGCCTTGGTATAATTATTCCTAGGTCACACCTCAATTCACCTTCTGCAGAATGTCGTCACCTTGAGCCCTCCTTGACATGGCACAACTACTAGCCATGGTGGAGGCCCTCGGGCAGCAGAATGGAACTCTGCAAGACAGTGTCACAGACCTACAACAAAGAAGTGTAGGGGACGACGGTCCAGAAGAGGAGCTTCTGGAACCTCAACCTATATCTAAAGCTATCTGGGACGACCAAGTCCCAGAGAACTTCAAATCACCATCGTTGAGAGCCTACGACGGCAGAACCGACCCTTAGGAGCATGTTATTGCCACCAACAACCAAATGACGATAATAGGCCCCACTGACTCACTAAAGTATAAACTAATGGCCGACACCTTCAAGGACGTGGCCCTGCGATGGTACATGAGCCTACCACGAATGTCCTTGGAAAGCTACCCGGACCTGACGAAGAAGTTTATTAAGCACTTCTCTGCCAACAAACATCGAAAGGTGTCCACAACATTCTTGTTCAACGCCTGGCAAGGTCAAGCAGAGTCTCTCTGGGAATACTTGGCCCTGTTCAACGAAGAGACCATTAAAGTATCTCATCCAAAATAAGAGTTGTTCGGTGGAGCATTCCAACACGACCTTCGAGCAGGACAATTCAACGAATCCTTAGCTCAGAAGCCCGCGTCCGACATGAACAAAATCATTACTAGAGTGGGATGTTACATAAAGGGTGAGGAGAGCAACTTGGAAAAACAGTATAGGGACGCCCCAGAGAAAAATAAGACCAAAGAAGAAGGGCCAAGGAGGAAACATGAGTCTTCCCGAGCGACCTCGAGAGATAGGCCTCGGGAACGCGCAACTCAGAGACCTAACTGACGTCCCTTCAATTCAAGCGACATGGGTACACCCTTAAACACAAGGAGATGGGAAATCTTACAGGAGGTAGCACACCTAAACCTCATCCCGAAAGTGTTCCACAAATGGAAAGTTGATGTCATACTGGGTAGTAACATCGAGGTTTAGTGTAGTTGTCATTGGTTTCGAGGATACCATACTGACGATTGCCTCCAGTTAAAGAAAGAAATCGAGAAGTTGATACAGAGGGGGTACCTGCTAACTTATGTCAAAGATGGAAAAACTCCATTTGGCAAAAGAGATGCTCGGCAAAAAGACATGGACCCAGAGGAACCTTCCCAAAAGAAGGGGAAGGGTATTGAAGAAGTACACAAGACCAAAACGTCTCGCCACACCCTTAACACCATCACTGACGGGTTTGCTAGTGGCGGCGAAACCAGCTAGGCCAGAAAGAAATATGCCCGCACCGTGATGCATGTGCCTGAGGACATAACCAAGGTCTGGGAACAAGACATCAACCCGGTTAGCTTCTCCAAAAAAGATGTGATCGGAATTATGGCCCACAAAAATTATCCCATGGTCATCAAGGTACAAATTCGGGATTAGAGCGTCAAAAGGGTGCTGGTATACCCCTGATAGCTCAGTCGATGTGCTCTATTGGGAAGCCTTCAAAGGAATGGAATTCGATACGTCTGAGCTATTACCCTTCAACGACACCTTGGTCGGGTTCTTCGGAGAACAAGTACAAGAATTAGGAAACCTCTCAGTACTCACTACCTTTGGAAGCAGAGTGAATTCTAAAACAGTCAAAGTAAGGTACTTGATCATCAACACTGTCTCACCCTATAACGTTATTATAGGAATACCCTCCTTAAATGACTTATAAGTCGCTCTATCCACCATGTACCTCACCGTGAAGTACCCCTTGGGGGACAGATGAGTTGGGGTGGTTAAAAGCGATCAAAGATTGGCCAGAAAGTGATATAAGGATAGCCTGAAGTCTAAAGAAGATGATATAATTCGAAGAACTTGGGTGATCCAATGAGCTAAAAATCAACATGATCGACATAGATCCTCGGGATGATACATAGGAAGAAAGCCTTCTGAAATAACCTACATAGGATACAACCTTTCTCGGGAGGAAGAAACAGAGATCGTAGAACTATTAAAAGAGAATGTTGACTTGTTTGCATGAAAGCCTTCTGATATGCCCATGATATACCCTAACTTCATGTGCCACCACTTAGCCTTGAATCTTGATACCAAACCTGTATCTCAAAGGAAGAGGAAAGGTGGAGAAGAAAAGAAGAAGGCCATAAAAGACGAGGTCGAGAAGTTACTCGATGTCGGCTTCATCAAAGAAGTCAAATATCCTACCTGGATGGCCAATGTAGTGATGGTTAAAAAGAAGACACGGAAGTGGTGCATGTGTGTTGACTTCAAGGATCTCAATAAAGCATGCCCCAAGGATCCATACCCATTACCATAGATAGATTGACTCATTGACGAGACTTCATGGTACAAACTCCTCACTATCGTGGATGCATACTCAGGGTATAATCAAATCTGCATGAGTCTGGCCGATGCACCAAAGACTGCCTTTATGACAGACTGGAGGAACTACTATTATGAGGTAATGTCGTTCGGTCTCAAGAACATAGGAGCCACCTACCAAAAATTAATGGATAAGGTATTTGTCACTCAAATCGGCAGGAGCCTGGAAGTATACATAGACGACGTGGTTGTCAAAACTACTGTTGGAAAATGACATGTAACATATTTGAAAGAAACTCTTGTGTCCATAAGACAGTACAACATGAGACTCAACCCATACAAGTGTATCTTTGAATTTCAAGCCGGAAAGTTCGTAAGATTCATGCTCACTAACCGTGGAATATAAGCCAATCCGGATAAGTTCCATGCGATCATCGACATGTGTATCTTGTCCTCAAAAAAGGAGGTACAACAACTAACAAGAAGGTTAGTCATTTTGTCTCGATTCCTTTCGTGATTCATAGATACGGCGATCTATTTCTTCGCGACCCTCAGGAAGTCGGAAGAATTTGAATGGATGGCAGTGTGCGAGGAAGCCTTTCAAGGAGTAAAACGCTTCTTATCCTCTCCACCAATCCTAATGAGACCAAAAGAGAATTCACTTTTGATCCTATATCTGGCGGTTTCTGAGAAAGCCATGAGCTCAGTACTCGTTCAAGAAGGGGGAGAGGGGGAAAGGCAGGTGTACTTCGTTATTAAGGTTCTGAAAGGATCCGAACAACGATACCAGAAGATTTAAAAGCTTAGCATTGATAATAACAACCCAAAAATTAAGACATTATTTCCAAGGTCATCCGATAATCGTGAGGACTAATTATCCCATCAAGCAGATACTAAAGAAGCCAGATCAATCGAAATGATGGTCACGTGGGTTATGGAGTTGTCAGAGTATGATACCGAATTCACTCCAAGGACCAACATCAAATCACATATGTTAGCTAACTTTGTGGTGGAACTAAGTGACTCAATACCCGAAGAAAACACGAGAAAATGGACTCTTCACGTTAACGGTTCATCCAACCTTAAAGGAAGCGGGGTCGGGGTCATCCTTGAAGGACCCGGTAACTTAGTATTGGAATATTCCTTAAGCTTCAACTTTCAGGCTAGCATTAATCAAACGGAATACGAAGCTCTCATAGCGGGGATGAAGTTAGTTAAGTAAGTGGGAGTCACCTATCTGACAGTAAACACTGATTCACAATTGATTGTAGGGCATATGAAAGGAGAGTACCAGACAAAGGACTT